CAGCACCTCCTAAGACTGCCAATCCCTTTAAGAAAACCGCACTAATTATGTGATGCATTTTAAAAAATTCCTGAGATTTTCAAGCAGTTCCTTATTTTACCCACGCAGTCATTGCATCTTTGTTCACTATCTACTACGGCTTCTAGTAAACGCTGTTTCACAATGTTTTGATACGATTTATAGTTATGCTTGCCTATAATGTTCTCTTTGTACTGCAGGTGGGAACTCATGACGGGCTTTGCTCACCAAAAACAATTATGCAAATTAGGCTAAGGGTAGATTGAATCTACCCATGGCTTATGATTAACTGAAACAGGAGATCACAATTCGCGCCTTCATACGACTGAGGCTATATACAGCTGTAGTTGAAGATGATTTTTGGCATTCATTCATCAAAATGAAAACTAAGGTGATCTCTTCGTTTATCAGCTGGTTAGTTGGAAAAGCCTAGCAAGCTATACGCACCTCAGGCATACATGCATAATGTTTGTAGTTTCCTTGTTGTCATCAGGTGGTTGGTTCCACTGCATTAGTCGATCTATTTAAACGCCTGACTTAGAATTGATGCAGATTTAAACATGTGTACTGAACTGGTTCGAGACCAAGATTTCTTAGAGTTCAGTCTGATTTGTTTACATACATTTATCACTGTTTTTGTCAATAATCTTATCATATATATCACATTAGATTCCTACTTTCTGTTGTTTTATGAGAAAGGTGTGTTTCCTGAATTATTTCAAAGTCTTAAATTATTCTGTGCCTAAAACTCACGCCACGAGTCTTAATCATATAAGTGGGTGGGATAGGTAATGCAGTGGAGATTAAAACTATTGTAGCGTATAAGGTTAGTCCCATTCACACAAAAGCTAAGCTTTTAACATGATTTAAAGTTATTTAGTTAAAAACAGTTTATTTTTTAGTTTTTGTTTGTTTGTTTTTTTATTTTGTTGTTTTTTCTTTTCATAGAAACTGCTTACTGTACTTTTAAACATTATCCACCTCCCCCGGACAGGGGCTCCACCAGCTGATTGCCGGCGGCAGTGTCGTGGGAATTGTTGATCGAACGTCAGAAGAAATCAATAGGTTTGATTAGCAAAAACAACAACTCTGCAAGGGCAGCACACTTTTTCATGACTACGATGAGGAAATACCTTATTTAACGTTTTATGGAGGACGTAAACAACAAACGACGAAATTTTCTTTCACTTTCTGAACTTGGATATGGTTCTTAGGAATTCAACTCCAGAATAGTTGGCCTTCAACTGAAAAAATGAGTGAGTTGGAATAATAGGGAGATCTTATTGCCGCTGTCGTAGTCGACTGGTAACTCAAACTCCTTAATATCAGTGTGCTTCGGAAATGACGCCAACCGACGCACGTCAACCGGAAGTGGACTTTCTGCATCCTTCAAGTTAGGTAGTGTTTTCTTTCCCAAATTTTTCTGAAAAAAGCTTCTCTTTAGACTCAAGACACTTAGCAATATAAATTTGGAGGGGTCTTAAAAGATTGACTTCTGTCGCTCAAAAACGCCATCAAGCCACCTACATGTAACAAACGAAAAAGCGCGTGAAGAATTGCGCGGGGGAAGATAGGAAGAAGGAAAAAGTCTCTTCCTTTTCTCACCGTCCTCTTCGCGACCGTTCCGTGACCGCTTGCAAACGATAAGAGACGACTACCAGTCCGGGCCACAACCAGAACTGGATATATGATGACGTCACCCAAATTTTCAACATGGTTCCAAAACCAAGGGACAAGATCAAGGGTCACTTTTCAGCTCTTTGCTACGCCTAGAAATGACCTTTTCCCATAGTACTTTAGGGGCTGCGCCTTTGAATGAAGAGGAAGCACATGAGTGTGAAAAAAATGGCAACCGATGAAGTTTTGCGTGTTTCCCAGAGGTAAAACGGCTAAAAACGGGAGTGTTTCAGCTCAAAGATCTACCAGACAAGGCGCAAAATATCGGAAGATGGAAGGTGTGTTTCAGTTTTTTGATCTTTGAAAAAATTATTTTTGAAATCTACATAAAATTTGCTTGTTGGTGGTGTTTTTTTTGTCGTAGTGCAAAGCATTTTCACATAGTACTGTGCGTTTGAATTTGCGAATTTTTGGAACGCTCATTTTATGTTCTATTGCAGTGTGATAGAAAAGCACTTTGTTTTTTTGGCATAAAGATGCCGGCTGGGTGACAAAACTTTATCGAAAACCCGAAGTGTCCAGATTGCGTTGGTTGGTCCAAGGAGCAATGTAGTTTCGCTACACGGGATTGTTGTTTGACCAATCGAGCAGACCTTACTGTGGGACCGACGTTAAGCTCCGAGAAGTCGGGCGGGTATTCTGAAGTATTGCTCCCACTTAAACAACTAACTAAGTTACTTTGCTTTTATACTGTGACAAATTGTATTACTTCAGATTATTTAGATACCAAAACGGTAAATGTCAGGAAAGACTGGACATAGCTGCTAGAAGTCAAACTTACAACCACACCACATACGAGAAACGATGTGTTTTCGAACGGCAAAAAAATCAATAGGTCGAATAGTCTAGTAGCAAAAAACTACCTTTGCACGTGAAGCACACTTTTTTTTACATTTCTTTCCCGTTGTTGTTGCATCTTGAAACTTCCTAGTTACACGTATTATGGAGAAAATATGTCTTTGTTGCTTATGATCCNGCAACCGATGAAGTTTTGCGTGTTTCCCAGAGGTAAAACGGCTAAAAAAGGGAGTGTTTCAGCTCAAAGATCTACCAGACAAGGCGCAAAATATCGGAAGATGGAAGGTGTGTTTCAGTTTTTTGATCTTTGAAAAAATTATTTTTGAAATCTACATAAAATTTGCTTGTTGGTGGTGTTTTTTTTTGTCGTAGTGCAAAGCATTTTCACATAGTACTGTGCGTTTGAATTTGCGAATTTTTGTAACGCCATGTTCATTTTATGTTCTATTGCAGTGTGATAGAAAAGCACTTTGTTTTTTGGCATAAAGATGCCGGCTGGGTGACAAAACTTTATCGAAAACCCGAAGTGTCCAGATTGCGTTGGTTGGTCCAAGGAGCAATGTAGTTTCGCCAGACGGGATTGTTGTTTGACCAATCGAGCAGACCTTACTGTGGGACCGACGTTAAGCTCCGAGAAGTCGGGCGGGGTATTCTGAAGTATTGCTCCCACTTAAACAACTAACTAAGTTACTTTGCTTTTATACTGTGACAAATTGTATTATTTCAGATTATTTAGATAACAAAACGGTAAATGACAGGAAAGACTGGACATTTCTGCTAGAAGTCAAACTTACAACCACACCACATACGAGAAACGATGTGTTTTCGAACGACAAAAATATCAATAGGTCTAATAGTCTATTAGCAAAAAACTACCTTTGCACGTGAAGCACACTTTTTTTTACATTTCTTTCCCGTTGTTGTTGCATCTTGAAACTTCCTAGTTACACGTATTATGGAGAAAATATGTCTTTGTTCTTATGATCCTGTTCGCTTTTCTTTTCACTGCCGCTCACTGTCACCGTACTGGCCGCTTGCATTTGTCATTTTCTGTCCGCCCTATAAACTTTTCATGTTGTTTTTCCAAAGAAATTTGTCTCCTTTGTTTATCTCTCGTTGTAACTCACTGTCTCTCTTTTTCTCTTTTAGCTCCGCTAGCCTGTCTTCTACTTGCTCGTTTTCTCTGTCTTTTTCTTTCTCTACATTCCCAATTTGTGGATATTAGCTTTAGAGGACACGGATAGAGAAACAATTTCTGCTTTCCATTTTGTCTTTATTGAGCCTTTAATTGTCTTTGCTTCACGACACGGTTGGCCATGCGATTTCCACCAAAAAAATTCGAGTTCTATTTGGGCTACCATATCTGTTGATTGATTATTTTACATTGGTATGCCTGTCGGGCGGACAGACGGGCGTACTGATACGTAGTAACCAAATTTTGTTATCCATGGTGCTCCGCTGCGTGCGCTTCGCGCAAGAGAGAGCTCCACTATCAAGACACCTAAATTCAATCATTTAAATGATACTTGGTATAAAAAGAATAAACGATCGAGTAAAACAACAAAAATGAAATTGTTTACTTGGACGAATTGGTTCAATGAGTAACAAAAAAAAACAAGAACGGAGGATGAAAGAATAAGTAAAAAAGCAATACAAGCAGATGAACAAGAACATAAATTGCAACCAAATAGATGTATCATGGATTTATGCCTCTCTTATATACATCTAATCTCACAATTGCACTATTTCTTCTGCTCTTATTATTCTAGAACTGTGTCTCTTGTTTTGTCTCACGAGCGATTGATCTAACAAAGAGCCGTAAAACTCGTTTGGGCCCCTTGATGATTCGTACTTGACTTTTGCTGTGAGAGAATTGCAAAGGCCTCTATTTTCCTTTCATTGCTGTTTAGCTGAGTACTAGTGCGCATAATATTTGTCACTTTCGTGTTACCATCCTCTTGTTCCTTTTCTCCAACACTGTTCTCTAAAGCCCTATTAATTTGCGCAGTGGTGCTGTTTTGGGCGTTATCCTGATGTTCACAGTCAGATTCCCCGCCTTCCTCAAGCGAGATATTAACAGCTCCACTGTCTTGCACGGCATCCGTAATAGTGGGCATTTCGATGTCTCCTGTTTCTAATTGGTTACTCATTATATTTGCTCTTTCTATGCCACTGATATCCTCNTATAAAAAGAATAAACGATCGAGTAAAACAACAAAAATGAAATTGTTTACTTGGACGAATTGGTTCAATGAGTAACAAAAAAAAACAAGAACGGAGGATGAAAGAATAAGTAAAAAAGCAATACAAGCAGATGAACAAGAACATAAATTGCAACCAAATAGATGTATCATGGATTTATGCCTCTCTTATATACATCTAATCTCACAATTGCACTATTTCTTCTGCTCTTATTATTCTAGAACTGTGTCTCTTGTTTTGTCTCACGAGCGATTGATCTAACAAAGAGCCGTAAAACTCGTTTGGGCCCCTTGATGATTCGTACTTGACTTTTGCTGTGAGAGAATTGCAAAGGCCTCTATTTTCCTTTCATTGCTGTTTAGCTGAGTACTAGTGCGCATAATATTTGTCACTTTCGTGTTACCATCCTCTTGTTCCTTTTCTCCAACACTGTTCTCTAAAGCCCTATTAATTTGCGCAGTGGTGCTGTTTTGGGCGTTATCCTGATGTTCACAGTCAGATTCCCCGCCTTCCTCAAGCGAGATATTAACAGCTCCACTGTCTTGCACGGCATCCGTAATAGTGGGCATTTCGATGTCTCCTGTTTCTAATTGGTTACTCATTATATTTGCTCTTTCTATGCCACTGATATCCTCTGGCAGACTGAGAAAGGGAAGGATCAGCGCTAGACAGCAAGAGAAAGACCACTGTGGATTTTTGTGCCATTCCTTGAGATAGGCATACAAGTGCAGCATGTACTCAACTGAAAAGAAGCGGTACACTTAACCGTCAGAAATCCCATTAAGATATGTGATTTAGTTATTGACTTGCCTGCACAACACAACAAGTCCCATAGATTTTGGTATATGTGCGAGGTTTGAATGAGGGGGCCAACGGTTTATCAACATAATATATAGTAGTGTACAGAACACAGCCTACGGTTTTCCAAACCACTCTCGATAGTTCTCACTATTATGTTCAAACAGACTTAAGTGCCCGCAATATCGGAGGTGGTAAGACATTTTTTTAGAACAAGTGAGCCATGTCTGTGCCCGGAGGAATGATCAACAAAGTGTTATACAAAAAGACTCCGCCCCGAGGTTCAACCCCTTATCCTTTTATATACCCATTTCGTATACTTCTATTGACAAATGGTACTCCTTTCCGTCAAAAGAGACCTAAAAAGTTTCTAACTTTGCTCCCTTTTTACCCGCTGCAAATTCAGTGTTTTTATTACTATTTGTTTTATAACATTGAAGCACTTTACTTTTTGAAATAAATAACAAAACCAGAGCGTTTTCTTGAATTTTTCACAGCCATTAAATGCGTCTGTGAGCCTTTTTAGGCCTTTTTTCAGACAAATATGACATATTTACTTACCCTTTCAAATACGGGTTGGAAAAATATATTCAACATATCCGGGCTAACATCGAAATACATGAACTATAGAAGATTACATAACAATAAAACAAGAATAAAAACATCTGTGACACACTCTATTTGGAATCTATTTGTTTATCAGACGTTTTGGAACATGTCCCATTCTAAGAAAAGTCACTCACCATCAAATAGCTTGGTTATCACCAGATGTTGTATTGTGGCATAAAGTTAAAGGAGATAATAGTAATAATCTTACAGGCAATTAATCCGATGACCAAGATGTTTGCTCCAAGAACTAATATGTTGAATATAAAAGTATCCATGTAAACGTCGCTCACTGAAGGTAAGTTCTCTGAAGGAATTTTACTGACCGCCCCAACACCCAAGTTGAAAACTGTAACGGCAATGGATGCGGCCATCAGTCGATTTTCAAAGGCGTCTTGTATCGGACGATTCCAGGCAAAAAACACTCCATATATGCCTGCAATGACCCATGCTAGGCCAATGTATGATCTGCTTTCCTGCCCCACGAGTATCAAACCGGATGTGATGATTACTTTACGAGAAGTCTCTATTAGTTCCCAGTACCACGAACGAGCTGTATAGTTTTCGTAAAGAAATTGCAACCCCTTGATTATTTCAATGCCAGAGGCTGTATCTTTAGATCCTCTGACGACATCTTCTTTGGTTTTTATTACTCTTCGTTTTCTCCAAAGGATTATGAATGTGGCAGTAGGAAGAGCAACAACGTACGCCAATGAAAAATATGCTGCGATAAGCAGTTTATTGAACAGAGGCCCATGACATTGTATGCTGTAATCTGCTTTTAAGTACTTCGTGCAAGAGTCCTCATCTTCGTGCTGACAAAGTTCCCGGCATGCAAGGGGCAAAACAGCTGCTGTCTTGGAACATGTGCTAAGGTAGGTGATGTACAGGAAAAAGAACAAATTTTTGTACACGGTTTCTTTAGCTTGTGATATTTTATGTGACTTTTCGTCGTCGTCCATTCTTGCTTTACTTGAGATAACAGCTTTTCTTACAAGGTAGCTTAGGCCCGCACAGATGACAATGGCAAAATTAATTGCCACCATGGAGAGCAAGTTTGCAAAAGCATCCACGTTTAGGTCCTTAAAGATGCAGTTAATTGGAGTCATCTCAAGTATGTTTAGCTTGAGTGTTTCAGAATACTTGCCGATTACCTGTACGGACTCGGGCCATTCAATGTATGAGAAGGCTTCAAGCAAGCCATAAGTGACCTGATAAAATCCAATTGCGATCTTTATTTTGGACAGAAAAGAGTCTGCCACAGTGTTTCCAACCCCTTCTTTATCCTTTATTTTTTTTGTCCAAATGCAAACAGAAATTATTGTCAAAATAACGA